AACGCAGGATGTTCAACAACTAAGGAGTGACCCTTGCAGAAGTGATCAGGTCTTTGACGACTTAATTGTAAGTATACCTTTCTGTTTGTTTGTTGTGTAGCCCCGCACTCAGCAATATTCCAGCTATATGACAGCGGTCTGCAAATAATCGAGTCTGGACCAAACAATCCAGTGATTGACAACATGATCATCGATCCACGCAATTGGGATCGATGACATGCATCAACCAAGTCAGCGAGCCTGACCACCCGATCCCATTAGTCGCCCCTTGCGACAAGCATAGTCGCCTTTTACGGCAAGCATGGGTTGCTGAACACCTATTCTACCCCGGATCTTCACGGGTCAAGTATACCTTTCAATTTTTTAAACAAGTACACGGAAAGACAAGTTCTATGGATGAACAACTTCTTTATTACAATTAGTGCGACGTTTCGGTGTAGATCCTAACACCTTTATCAAGCAAGTGATGGATAGTGCTAAACAACATAGGTTGTTTATGTTATAGGTTGCACTATCCATCACTTGCCTGATAAAGGTGTTAGGATCTACACCGAAACGTCGCACTAATTGTAATAAAGAAGTTGTTCATCCATAGAATTTGTCTTACTTCATCACACCAACTTCTAAATGCCACTGAAAGAAGAAGCACACGGAAGTCAAGAAGTGATAGAGATTCTTCTGACATATTTATCAAATAAGCATGCATGTATTTCCTAACGGCCACAATACACAGACGTCGACTTCCATACTTCTATACTTGTTGTTAAATATATATTATTATTTCCCCACTGAATCTAAGATCCTGCTCACACACGGACCGGGCCATATTTTTAAAAATTAATAATCATTATTTTTATATATGCCTTGATTGTTACATGCATTGATATACGCCTTGCTTGATGGTATGGTAGAGATAAATATTTTTCTTCCATGGAAATTTGGGGGCACGGGTGGCCCAGTCGTCCAAGGCGCCGCGATTCGCTGTGCAGAGTTGCGTCCCTTGAGCACGCCAGAAACCTATGATTGTGGGTTCGAATCCCGGTTCCCCCCGATTATGTTTCTAGGTTTGTCAGCACCATACCCGTGCTCGAGGGTTTCACCGAAGTGGTAAACGTCTAAGACCTGCATCACCTCGGGCTTTCCTCCACATTAAGCTGACACGCCGCGATATAACTGTAATACTGTTAAGAGTGGCGTTAAACCCAACTCACTCCATGGAAATGTACTAATAACTGAAAAAACATATAGCTAAAAAAAAGTGAGTTGCCAAACCTTTAACAAAATAAATACGAAACATGGACACTCAATCACACCCATGCATCTTACCCCTAACGTATGTCATATACTTTGAGTGAGTGAGTGAGTATTCTTTTACGCCACTTTTAGCAATATTCCAGCAATATCACGGCGGAGGACACCATAAATGGGCTTCACCCATTGTACCCATGTGGGGAGTCGAACCCGGGTCTTCAGCGTGACGAGTGAACGTTTTAACCACTAGGCTACTCGACCGCCCCTCATTTAGTTTTAAACAAGGACGGTTATCTAAATATAATATGTGAAATACAGGATCGATCTATTTTGTTAAGGACACAAAAAAGTTTTCAGCTATTGCTTCAAACTATACAAAGGTTTCTCTCTGAAAGTAGAAACTCTTACATTTTTGTTTTCACAACACAATATATCTAAATCCCGGTACATAAATTATTTAATTATCTCTATTATTTTACATATGTGTTTTGTCCTAGCCACATCGAGAAAAATAAATAGTTGACCTCTCAATATGAAACATCTGACATAGGAAGAAGGCGAGAACATTAATTTCTCGTTCAGCCCCCAGAGCACATATCTAACAATGCTATACGAGTGCATTTCGTTATTGTGATAATCATGTGTTCTCTCTAGTACGCATATATATCAAATGGATGTACATTTCCGCTTTAATTGGCTACAAGTATTTGTGTGAAATGAGATGCAGACACCTCACCTCCATTGTAGTGAGTAATTAGAACAACCTTGTGGCCTATAGGTTTAATAGTATATACGCTTCACTTACTTCCAAAATATCCCAAAGGCTATCGAATGTATGCTGATAAACTGTGACATATTTATTCGCATTTATTATTGTGTATAAAAGCGATAAAACCTTTCCATGTACATAAACCATCTCTAAAAGCAGAGTCGGTTGTACGATTTTGACTATATCATAAGCAGGTGTTTATGAATCACTATCAAATGGTTATAATACCAGGTGTTCGCGAACAGGTGAGCGTATCCTGTGCCACGGGTGGCACCCGTCGCAAACTCATGCAAAGCCAAGTCAACTGTTTACCTAAAGCAAAACGTGGGAACATATGGTACAAGTCAAAATAGGGAATTGCATCGGACATAGGAGTACCTTTTTATTACTGATGCGTCACATTTGGAAATGTCGACCACACGTCTACCACAAAACCTTTTGAAAGCTTTATTGAGGCATTGTTGTAGCGAAGACACTTTATTCTCTATACAGTAAACTACGGTTAGAACGAACTCAAAGGGACCACTAATTTAAGTTCGTTATAACCGTAATTCGTTATAAACATTTATACAGCAAATGGCTGGGACCAAAAATCCAGTTCGTTATATCCGCTAGTTTGTTATAAGCGTGTTCGTTATATACGTAGTGTACTGTATATCTGAAAGTGGAGGTGCGGTCGGGTAGCCTAGTGGTTTAAGCGTTCGCTCGTCACGCCGAAGACCCGGGTTCGATTCCCGACATGGGTACAATGTGTGAAGCCCATTTCTGGTGTCCCCCGCCGTGATATTGCTGGAATATTGCTAAAAGCGGCGTTAAATTATCACGGCCACAGTCAGAGGTTGTTGACTGTCGGCCTGTCCTGTTATAACGTTACGAAGTGTAGACAGATGTACACACAGCGACAAAACTAAACAAGGTAACAATTCGGACATGCTTCGGCCAAATCCAACTGTTTTAATTTGGGGAAAAGTTTCCAAGCCGCATAGATCTACAAGCACAGATATGGCAACTGATCCCGCTTGGCTAGTGCCCTCGCAAAATTGTCACAGTTAGACACTGATTTTCAATATATTAGACTATTCTTTTGATAATAATAGCAATTATCCTAGTAGTTTCTCCAGACTCCCGATGGTTAATTCTGACTCGATCGCGTGTTTATAATCAGCGAAAGTAATCCCTACTTGACCTTTGATATTTGCATTTCTATCCGCATATGACCCCAACGAAACCTACACATTATATGGTAATTTAGTATATGTTTTATATATAAGTCTATTTAAGGCACCAGCACATGTAATGTGTGCCGGTGATGTTGAAAGCTATTCGTTTGTACCATGTATCCCCGTTACAACAAAGTGTTCATCCTATTTTGTAAGATATGTGTACATAGCCCTGAGGCTTTTACATGAATCCCGGAACTTGTATGAACGCAACATACTGTCTAAACCACATGACATTCTCCATAGCTATCGTCATTCGTGACCAACTCGTGTTATTCCGGGACCAGCCGAATAGCGACTCTCGTGGCAATTTTTACGACCGGGTTCCGTCTGAGCGCAAACGGGCATACCTAAAACAAATTGTCAACTCGTTGCGCAATGGTTCACATACATTTCCCCATATATCATTTATATTTAGATGCAATTAAAAGCATATCAGGACATGCGAAATTATACAGTATGATTGAACACATTTAACTGTGTCTTGGGTATATTTTTAGATGCAAGACATATGTAAAAACAGAAATTATTTTTGAGGGATTCTTTGATGAAGAACTTGAAATCATACGCACATTCTGATTGGTTTGTCGTATTTTCGCACATAACATTCATCGATAGGGGGGACGAGTCGTCTTGCAGGTTACGGAAAGGGGCGAGTGGCGACGAATGAGCTATCGTATGTGACTAATGGGCTGTACCCTCTTCACGCACCGCTGTTCACTTTGCCCAAAGGCACAACCGGCTGTCACACCTAGTCCTGACCAAGGTAGAATTCATAATATCTGGGATAAAAACAAAATCATAAGGAATTTTTTTAGCACATTTGAATGTTGCATTTAATAAAATATTAAAACTATTATGAAATATGAAATAAACACCGTGCTGTAAACACGTGGCGCCGTCATGAGTGAGTGAGTATGGTTTGAAGCCGCCTTTACCAATATTCCAGCAATATCACGACGGTGGACACCTGAATCTGGCTTCACACATTGTACCCATGTGGGTTGGTTGGTTGGTTTGTTGTTTAACGCCGCACTCAGCATTATTCCAGCTATATGACAGCGGTCTGTAAATAATCGAGTCTGGACCAGACAATCCAGTAATTAATATCTTGAGCATCGATCCACACAATTGGGATCGATGACATGCATCAACAAAGTCAGCGAGCCTGACCACTCGATCCCGTTAGTCGCCTTTGACGACAAGCATGGTACCCATGTGGGGAATCGAACCCGGGCGTGATAACCGAGCGCTTTAACCACTCCTTGCGCCGTCATGAACATGCACTGCAAGGACAAGGTGGATATATTTCATATAATATTGATTAGCAGGTGATTTCCGATATGTACACAAATCGAGTTGGCTTAACTGTATATTCGTAACACTGTTATTGTTGACAAAGTAATCAAATATTTAAGAACGAGTGTTGCCTAACACTGTTTGAATATGTGAGGGATTCATTTCATGTAATATACATTAGCAGGACTCCCGATATGTACACTGGACAAGCTGGCTTAATTGTATATCCGTAGCACTCTTATTGTTGACACAGTAGTCGAAATTATAAATACGAGTGTTTGCGTCAATAAGCACAGATTGCTTTTGCCAAAGGGGGAGATGTTATCGCTGCTCGCAGGGCGTGTTGTTGAGTCCCAGCCCTGTATGACAAATGCACCAGTTCGGGACAATGGGAATGTGTTTGTACTTAGCATCCGGCTGTCAGAGAGTGAGGTGTGGGTATAAAGTGTTGTAATCAGTTAGGTCGCTAAGACACAGAATTCAGACAAGCTGGGGTCAGTGCTTGAAACATGTTCCTGGTCAGGGCCCTCCTTGTGTTGTTGGTTTCGGACGAGAGCCTGCGTTCTGCATCTCATGCAGAGTTGACTGACCCGGTCAAGACTGTTGGAGAAATAACAACAGTTAATACGACAGGATTTAGTTTCACAGACCCTACATATACAAAAATGACAATGAGAAAAGAAACCGCGAGCAGATCAGGAGAGGCTACATCATCTGACACTACCACTGTCGCGATGATGCAAACTTCAGACAAGGCTACCAGACATCATACACCCATTTCTGATACTAAAACGTTACAACAGACAAAATCGGCTGGCCCAGATTCCGCAACACCGCCTACCATGACCACAAAGCAGCAAGAACCATCTGCAACGTATATGACGGTTAATTATGTTCTACCTACACCACCGCCTTTGAAAGTCAGAAAGCTAAATGCGTTTGACACAGCATCTCGCTTATTCCGTGAGTTCCCGTCACAGGTAGTAGCCTCGGAATCTGAGTACTGTGGAAAGACCTGTCACTTCAAGTACAAAAACAAGCGTACTTCTCTGCGCCCATCTTGTGAAACATGTCGATGTGACGGCGACTGTGTCCTGTATGATGACTGTTGTCCGGATTTCGTTATTCTTGGGAATCAGACCACTGTGGCAGCTCCATACAGTTGTGAGAATACAAGTCCGGATTTTCTTGAACAAACATCAGATTGGTATTACATGATTAGATCCTGCGCTGACACCCCCACACCAGGTCTTGTACAAGAATGCCTTGATCAACACTCAAAAGACTGGGAGCACCAGGTTCCGGTTGAGGACGCCAGGACAGGAGATCTCTACAGGAACAAATTTTGTGCCTTGTGCAACAATGTGACACTTTTTAACAACTGGGACACCCAAATAAAATGCTCATTATATCCAAGCGGTTTCAAAGAGGCCAAATCAGCAGAAGAAACTTACAATATTGCTCTAGAGGCTTCGATTTGTTATATCAAATTTCTACCCACATCTCATACTGTTCTCAGACCTTGTAACTATCGTGAGGAAAGTGTCATTTCTTCATGCAACGTCACTGGGCAATGGGAGGTTTATGACAAAAGGGTGATCGAAGCCTGCGAGAGATTTACACATGTTGTGAATGGAAAGTACCGCAATGTATTTTGTTACCTTTGCAATACAAATGATGATTGGCGTTACATCCTAAATGAATACGTGTTGCAACCCGCGGTCGTTGACAGTGTTGGTCTTACCTCACTGTTGAACTTTCGGCAAAAGACGTTGGAAGTGTTCGAACCAAGGAAGAATGGTTGTGGAAGGAAACAGTTGTACGACAACATTATTGTAAGTAAATGACGTATACATACTTACACAATTATTAGTTTTGTCCACTTAAATATTAGTTAGTGAGTACGTTTTTACGCCGCTTTTAGCAATATTCCAGCAACATCACGGCGGGACACCAGAAATTGGTTCACACAAATGTTGATAATAGCAGTCAGTTGGGCTATCTACCAACTGACAGCAAAGCTAAATTTGCACTCTAATTTGTGTAATAATTATTTTCATATGTTCAATTTGTTACATAAGTTTGACTACACTTCAACGCAAAAGTCTTCTTCCTTATTTCGCAACATTTCATCGGAGCCTCAGCAGATAATCTAAACACTCCGCGGAATGTTTGTAAAATTCATGCGTAGCTACGCAAACAATCCGCAGAATATTTGTAAAATTCATGCGTAGCTACGCAAACAATCCGCAGAATATTTGTAAAATTCATGCGTAGCTACACAAACACTTCGCGGAGGTTATATCACATTATTAGTTACACGTCCCATTTGTCACGCACATCTATAAACCCAGTTGTTACACAGTTTGGGAGGAGGCCAGGAAAGGATTAATTAAGACAACACCTACTCAGTAATGGACCAGCCCTAAATGGAGTACTACATAGACCAAGGTAAAGATACAAATTGCCAAGCCCGAGTGGCATTGTGAAATGTTATGATCTGACTAAAAAAGGCAACTAATCTGTGTTGAATTTAGTTTATCTGACTTAGAACAATATTAATGAAACAAAAATATATTTTTAGGTTAATTAATTGTTAATGTTTAATTTCATTTGACCGGGGTCAGGTTTACAATCTAGTTTGTACTCCGGTTTAAATCTAATTATTCACTTCTGTTCCCAAAGATCATGGACGGTCAGCCCTACCTTCTATTCAGCAACGGGGAAGACAATAAAATTCTAGCGTTCTCAACACAACATCAACTGGAGACACTTCAGTCAGACGAGACAATCTACAGGGATGGAACATTCAGTTCCTGTCCTGCACTCCGGGATCAAGTCTCTATCCTGCATGCCAGATGTGGATTTGTAAACTACCCTCTTGCGTTTACCCTGTTACCAGATCGCCAGATGATACCATACCATTGATTGTTCAGTCAGCTAAAGACACTCGTCCAGGAAAGACTCCAGCGAGATCCAGACCGACTTCGAACTAGCTGCAACTCGCGCTGTTCAGGCGGAGCTCCCAGCCACTGAAGTCAAAGGCTGTTACTTTCATTCAGCCAAGCATCGTCGAGGAAGACGCAAGATCTTGGCTTAGCTGTCCCCTACAAAGGAGATCCCCACGTGAAACGAAGGATACGGCGAACTGCTGCACTGCCACACCTCCCCCTAGGACAAGGGCAAGACACCTGGTGAGACGCTATGGAGATACACCTGAAGTTCCCCGTGCCGAGCGCTTCAATGATTATATTGTGATGAACTGGGTTGACTTGGAATCTAGATTCCCCCTTCATCATCACCAGACAACAGGACCGCGCACAAACAACGATCGTGGTTTTTTTTTCAAAACAGACTAAAACGAGAACTATCCCACGACCATACAAACATTTACCGCTTCATTGAAGTTATTCAGAGAATCGAGAGGGCTGACCGCGTGAAGATGGCCCGGATGGATGTCGGAGCAGCCCCACCCAACCTGCAGGCTTCTATGCAGGGTTGGAGTAAGACAGAGTCAATTCAAACATACGGTGCTATGGTTATTGTGTTAAACAAAGACTGATATACATTGTTAATAATGATAATAATAAAAATAAAGAAGATGAGTGGGTGTTCGGAAATCTCGTGTTACATGAAACACTTTAACGTTTCTCCTTCCTTATCCAACGTTATGACATGTCACATCGTAACCGTCATCTTATACACAACAGATGACACCAAGACATAATTTTATTCGGTTCTATTGTCTTAAAATTGATTTTATTGGCGTTAAAATCTTTTGTCTAGTGCATATTTTCATAAACAGGACCGTTAACTTATATAAAGAATGTAAAATCAAGTTGATCTTCAAGGTAGCCTGCTTGTTTTCATGAAATATGAGGACTGTATACGACATCGGTTACTATTTTACACATAACATTTTGAAAAAGACAGCCAAACGACAATTGTGACAGGGAGGATTGTATGGTAGATGCAGCAGACAGATTGACAGCCGTTGTCGACGCGAGTTACGTCCATGACTAGGTTATTTGAAGGCCCCTGGCCTTGCACAATGTTACTATACTTTGAGGATTTCTGTGGCCAGTGACAGACATAATTTACAATCCTTCCACACAGACACCGCATCAAACTTATTTGTGTACCAATTACATAACTCTTACTGACGTGGGGAAGTGGGGTGGTAGTTCACGGGCCTGTCCTCATCTGGCCTACACCTCATATCGCCTACACTACTATCAAAACAAATTTATGGATGAGTGCACATCACACTCGTACCCTTATCCCTTAAGTAAAATGAACTCTTCCAACAAGATAACAAAGAATGTAAATGGCTTTTGATACTGTTATTTCATTTTGTATATGAGATCATCTTCACAACTCAAATGTTTTCACAACATCAAATATCATATATACACATGTATCATCATAGCAGTGTACATTTATATCCATCATCTTCATGTTTTATAACAATAGCACTACATCATTACTAGCAACATTACTGTAATTTGATGAAATGTCCAACTGCATCTAGAAACTGGATCACTGATCTTCTGCCAGTAGCAAGCTGCTGCTTCAGTCTCTCGATCCTTGCATCTCGGCCTCATGACACCACCCAGTCCAATCTGCCTTCTTGACCACCCATCTGCTGTCTCGATCTTCTTGAGTTCTTTGACAAACTGGAAGATGTTGGGATGGTCTCTCGGCATTCTCTTCTTCAGGCCGTTGTGGAAACCTTCAAGATTGTTGTTGGAGCGTGGACCGGTGTTCTCGTGTTGATTCCACAGGGCTCGAGGTAACGTGGCATTGAAGTCCACCCATGTGCTGGGGACGTAGTCGTTGAACCTGGACGATCTGCTGCCCATCTGGTCCTTGCTCCATCACTTAAATCCAGGCATCTTGGACTTCAGCTAGGGGTAGAACATCTTGCCATCCACAAGGCAATGGATAGTGTACACCTGCAGCCACAAGCTAGGGCATACGAAGAATGTCCCATCCATGAAAATAGTGTCCTGCTCACTAAGGATCTCCAATATCTCAGTTGTCGCAAACACTAACAGTCTGTCATCAGCACCATCATCTATGCACAAGAAATCTCTTCCATCTTCAGTCTTGGTCTAGGGTTCTTGAAGGTCGACAGCAGCTCGGGATTCTGGGAGAGGATGGATGGACTTGGAGCGGTGTCGGTAGAGAGCATCCTGGACACTGGCAAAGGACGGCATCGCGTCAGCAACATCTTCGTAAGCTCGGTCGAGTTCGGCGTTGTAGATCTGCTGAACAGGGGTGATGTCTGTCTTGACATGCTCCTTCATTCTGGCGATGATGCGGATGTGTTCTACATTCTCGGTAGGTGGATGACTGTGAGGCTTGGTTGGTGTAATGTGGTCGCTAATGGTGCTGCATCTGCCACTGCAGCCAATGGTGATACACTTCCAGTGAACAACAAGTTGCCGCTTGACATTAAACCTGTACCGGTACCAAGCATGTAGTACTTGCTGACCGCCTCTCTGTGAAGTATCGAACTCAGCTCTTTGAAGATGTGCCATTTTCTGAGGCACAAATCTAAAAACTAACATATATACCTATTCCTAAATTGGAGATGAGGTGATCCTGTTAACATTGTGAAAGCTATTTCGTTGATCAAAGTAAAGAGAAACAATAGTACTTACTAAGGTATATATAAACACTTACAGAAATTTAAAGATGAGTAGACCTGTTAAATGCTCAGATTGGATTATAGCAGGTAAGGTAATGTATACACACTTACAAAACTTTTGAGATGAGTAGACCTGTTAAAAGTGGATTATAACAGTAATCCTGTATAAACAGTCAAAACAAACTCAAGGATCAGATACCACTATGAAAACATCGGACTAGTTCAAAGGCCCATGCACTCAGGTCATTTATTCATATCAATGAATGAAATCATTAATGGGTTAATGGACAGTACCATTCTACACAACAGGGGTGTGGAAGTAACCATTTGTATTTAGCGTAGGCCAGATGAGGTGTAGGCGATATGAGGTGTAGGCCAGATGAGGGCAAGCCAGTTCACGCGAAAGAGAAAGCACATTCTGTTGACTAATATATGCTGGGCGGCGCCTTTGATATCGCCTCCAAACATACATGCAGTAGAAGGAACCATTAAACGATGCACGTCAGGACCGCGCAGAAGAAACAAGATTCGTTCTTGCTGTATATCAAGGCACCAATTTATCTTTTGTGTCTTTGTGCCTGATGTATCCACAACTAACGGGAATATGTAATACATATATCTACAAAGATATACATACAGGCTAGGTATTTGCCTAAATTGAGTGAGTGGGTGAGTTGGGTTTAACGCCGCTTTTAACAGTATTCCAGTCATATCACGGCGTGTCAGCTTCATGTGGGAGGAAAGCCCGAAGTGACGCAGGTCTCAGACGTTTACCACTTCGGTGAAACCCACGAGCACGGGTATGGTGCTGACAAACCTAGAAACATAATCGGGGCGAACCGGGATTCGAACCCACAATCATAGGTTTCTGGCGTGCCTAGGGGACGCAACTCTGCACAGCGAATCGCGGCGCCGAGGACGACTGGGCCACCAGTGCCCCCGTATTTGCCTATAACAAGTATTTAACCACTTAATTATGTCAGTACGGTTTACCAAAAGCTGCAATAACAATATCATAGAGAGAGCAGGTATTGGAGACTCCCCTGTAAGGTAGGCCGACTCTGTAATTGGACACAACTTAGACGAGTGACCTTGTGTTCTTCAATGGCTCATCCCAACTCTGATATAAATCGGGGGATTGCCAAAGTTTAGATTGGCCACCCGAATGTAATAATTACTCCATGTATTTCTTGTGAACCTGCTCGTAAATACCAAACGTCAGAACAATCAAACCTGGTTCATTAATTAATTATTCATGAGTCGGGTCATGTGCACTTTGTTGATGTTATCAGCAATATAATATCTAAATGATGTAAAGTTTCAATTTCGAACATTTTCCCTTTCTGACTAAAGTTCTTTTTTTTGTGTTGAAAAGCTAATTATTTTACCATTAATTTTATTTGCCAAGCTCAAAATGGTTTATCCGGGCATTTAACGATTTTTAGGAAGTTCAATTCCTCAACTATTCTTTTAGATACACTGTATAGATACATGTTATATAATCACATTTACTAATACAGCCGACTTTGTTTCATGGATGGATTTGCCTCCAGTGTTTTCTAATTCTAATTCAACATTCTGGATTCTTTCATTTCCTATTTTTACGCCGCAATATTTGAGCAAAAATGCAATGTCATGGCGGCATATAAGTAACTGAGTCTGGTCCAGACATATCAGTGACATTATGAGCACCATACCACTTCCGGGTATGATCACATGCAAAAAACACAGTTACAGAGCCTAAGATAGCTAACGGTCGTTAGGATTCATTTATGAAGTAAGAAATATGGTTAAATGACGCATTTAAGATTATTAACTTTTAAATAACGACGTGCCTGAACGTATGTGTTTGGCTGCTTGTACTTGTCCGCCGGACCAAGGGACTGACCATTTGATATTGTGGGATTTGTATGGAGATTCGATATATTTTCAGCTGGAGACAGTATCTAAAACATGTAAAACTATGAGCCTAAATATGCTACTTAAAAAAACCCAACCCAACTCATCTCGCGACAATGTTTTATATTTTGGATGACAAATTAATTCTTTTCAACAGTCTTGTGCATGATTATTTTTCCAACTAATGTATATTTTCAATATAATCCCAAGTTGAAAAATAAAACGAATGTATGCTGATAAACTGTGACACATTTATTCGCATTTATTATTGTGTATAAAAGCGATAAAACCTTTCCATGTCCATAAACCATTTCTAAAAGCAGAGTCGGTTGTACGATTTTGACTATATCATAAGCATGTGTTTATGAATCACTAT